TATATATATATCTCAACAATATACTTGATCAATCTGTTAGAAATGAGATGCTTTTTTTTTTTTGCCTTTTCTTTTCACAGGAAAGGAAAAAAAAATTCTATTTGAACAGCAGTCCAAAGGAATAAAAAAGCAAAATCTGTTTGCCGGCATCTGCAAAGATGGATGTATACTGGACAGAATATGTACAGAAATGAGTACCGAGTCTGAGTCAGTGCAAATTATTAAGGCTAATGCATAATCAGCAAGGTGAGGCTTATCCTGGTCTGTGCTGAGTCACTGATCAGAGCAGTTCCTTAAAACAAACAAATCTTTACAGCAATGTCATTACCCTGGAAATCTGCATAGTCCTCCCATGTCATAACGTATTTGGAGCTGCTCTGGTAGTACAGAACTACTTTTCCAGTTCTGTACATAGATAAAGGTTCTGTTCTTCATGTATAGGGTCATTCCTGAAAATCTCTCATCTGTTTGGATACAGTTTGCAAGACTGCTAAGGCCCAGAGAAGTCAGGCATAGTAGAAGGAGATGAGAGATAACACAGGCTGTTTTGAGGTTTCGAAAAAAAAAATAATATTGTGTATTTCCACTAACCCCACCCCCATGTTTAGATATTCTAAGTAAGATTGGGATACTAGTGCAGAAAGTACTACAAAAGGCTGTAATCTGAGATTGAAGGACCATTGACTCATATACTGAGCACTGTTGCATATCCCATGCTAACCAGTGAATGCAATTCTTGCCTTGCTCACCCCCATATATTGTTCTGGTAAATTTAAATTCTCCCTTGTATTATTCCTGAGGCAGATTTCAAAACGAAATATTAGGGAGAAAAAGGCTGTAGCTGAATTAATTTCCTTTTCGTTAAGCTCTTATTTTATAATTCTTACTAGCATTACCAACTGATAGAAGCTAGGGAGAGCATTAGTAATTATGCTTCGTTCCTCAGGGAAATTTCAAAAGGGAATCAATCTCAGATTCGTAACAAACAGCACCATATGAGGGGACTGCAGCCCCTACTATCCACTTTAGCCTGTAATGTGCTTTTCTACTACTGTTGAAGTGGTGAATAAACAATTAAGACAGCATTTCTAGATAAGCATTGCTAAGAAAAACCCCAGACTTCCAGCTATTGCTAAGATTCCTCCCCAGAAAAAGCTCTGGGCTTCTCTAAACCTGGTATTGCTCTTCTTCATGGCCTAAGGTGCCCGACAGAACATATTCCAGGATCTGTCCCAGAAGGAGCACTGGGCAAACCCACCCACTCCACAAGTGTTGTCTTACTGCAATGATGGTTCTGGGCTGCCTGCCTCACACCCAGTTGTTTGTGGAGCAAGCACTTTTTTCCTTAGTAGACTTTTCAATGTAGTGGTAGCTTAAAATGCATCTGCCCACAGAACAGCTTAAAATATAGCTGCCTACAAAACTAAATTGTGCTTCCACACAGCACCAACATCATCTGAACCTCTACCTGTAAGCTCAACTCAGCATCTTTAAGCTGCTGGGTACATCCTTAAGGTAGGGTACAAAACCACAACTTGACAGTGCCCCACCCCCAGTTGAAGAGAATAAATGCTCTGTGTGTGAAAGTATGTCTTGCCAAGCAGAGCTAAGAACCCAGGATCCTAAATGATGGACAGAGAGCAAATTCCCAGTGGGAGATGGGATAGGTTCCCTACTCACAGTATATTCACACTGTTTCAAGATCCCAGGTGAAAAGGCTGCTCTAAACCAGCCAGGAGCTGGAGGAGTTCCCTAGCTGCAGTCCTATGCCCACCGTAATACATGTAAGAGCATTTAAGGCAGGCCTTTGATCTAAACAGGCCCAAATAAGGACTTCAGCCTAGGAATGGAAAGCACTACTCCACCTACCTCTCAGGAATGAACTTCTCAGGCTCTGGCCAGAACTCAGGGTTGTGGTGGAGGTGCCCAACCGCAATTTCAATGACAGCCCCAACTGGAATACACTGCCCCAGCACCATGCAGTCCTTAGCTGCTTCCCGAGTGAACCTGCAACAACAAGTGGCATGTATCCCAGATGATTAATAAGGATAAAAACACAGCAGGAGGGTACCATAGAAGTCAATCTCTTCAGCTGGACTGACCCCACAATTTCAGGAGTAATGCTTTCCCAGAAGATAAATACAGCACCCAGTGCTGATGCTAGTGTCTTCTCAGGTTACAATCATCTCCACCTAGAAGCACACAGCTTCAACCCAGCTGGCTAACTTTTGCCCTTTTCACGGTACAAGCATTTCTGGTTGCTTATGATTTTCCAAAACATTATCTGTTGAACTGCAATTTTGCTGCTAATGTTGGTTATAGAGTCATTTTTTATGAAAACTGCAGATACAACATGTCAGTCATCTCTAATAACAAGCATAAAGAGTATGCTGTTTTGCCTTCAGGAAAAGTATCTCAAATATAGGGTTTGAGTTTATTAATTTGAGAAGCTCTCCCACGCTGGGACAGCACCTGAAACTTAGCAAGAGATGGTTTTAATGTTAGGGTTAAGTGTTCTGCTGCTGCTACAAAAATACAACCAATTCACAAGCCTTGGGAAACTGCAGTTCAGATGCACTCATCAAAGATAGGCATGACGTTAGCAACAAACCCCTCCAGTTGCCTCCCACCCTGTGATGACAGGTGACAGTGTAGGACTGTCCTTAGGAACCTCAGCGTGACAAGAAGACTGAGAAAAGCCACCTGCCAAAGCTGAGCTTGGGTCTGTAAACCTTGTGAAAAATGGTGTGTGGGCATGCATGTCTGGTGGCAGATCCTTTTAGTGCTTGGGTGGTTGCTACAGACCCCAGACCAGCCCATACACAGGTGGCTGCCCTGCTATCTCAGTCCGGGAGCTATTCCTCAGCACTAGCTGAGAGCACAGGGGCAAGACAAAATGCAGGAGCTCCCTTTGCTACTCCCCTCACTGTGCCTAAAAAAAGTTGAACAAAGATTTCATTTTCAGGGCTGTCAGTCTGGTATCATTACAGAAACACATTCTTTCCCCGCTGTCACCCATCCCTCTCTTTCTCACAGACAAATAAATAACAGAGGCTTCAAACCTGGAACAAAACACTGGCGTGCTAAAAATCACATTGACAAGCCATCGTTCTCATCCTTACATAAATTTGGTGATAGTGGAAACAAGAGTTCTGGGGAAGAAAGTTCTTAGGCTAGTACATTCATTTAAAAACACCAAACAATTCATGTTATAACAAGCTCGGCTGCTCCTGAATTTGCCCCTAACTCAGCATTATCCTTGCCTAGGCAATTACCATCTTTTGGAGGCTCTGGGCTGTCCTATCCCTTCCACATCCATCAGAGTAAAAGCCAGATCAATAAATATCACCGACAATGCCAACCGAAACTTTGGAACAACTTTGCTCCGTTCTCATTCTGTTTCCCATCTGACAAACATTGATTGTTTCTCAGTGTTTCAGCTGAAACTCAAATGCTGATGCTTTAACTGGCAAAACAATTTTGTATACCACATATAACACAGTAAAGCCCAGTTGTCTCAACCAGGAACAAGTACCTTTGGCATTTACTCTTTGAACAATCCTACAGATGCCCATGGAAAAATCTTGACTTTCGATCTTTGTGAATATATGAAAATGAATACGATTTTCAGCTTTTTTATTTTAAGGTGCTTGCAGTCATGGGGTAAATTTTTCAAAGGCTCTCACAGCAAGCTCAGCTTTGGCTCCTCTCCAGTCATCTGTATTTCTCCCCCAGCTTCATGAGAAGCAGTGCAACTGGCCAACCGCTTAGAACAGTTCTATTCTTACATTTGCATTTATGCTTGCGGTAACTTGGAAATTTGACAATCAAATAGTTTTCTAATTTCTTTTCCCCTTGTTTTCGGTTCATCAATGTAACTTATTAAAATTATTCCTGTGTGAAACTTTCAAAATTTAATGGATGTAGCCATAAGATTAGCTGTATTAGTATAACACAGTACTGAGTGCAAAACAGAAAGGATCTAAGTTAAACATGCATGTAAAATACAGGTTTCTCAATGTGCAACACTTCCACAGGTCACGGCCGTAATGACCAGCAGGGTACCTCATCCACCACCCAGCAGGCTAAGGTAGGTCTGTGTTCCATACCCCCAAAGCCCAAGGCATATGGAAGCAGCAGCAGCTGGCTTTCTAAGGCCAGTCCTCCTGCAAAATGGCACCATCCTCTAACCTTGGAGGATGAGAAAAATGGTGAAGAAGCAATCTTGGCCAATCTATTGTAAAAACTGCTTTAAAAATACCAGTATTAGCCAGTTTTCCGTCAACAGGACACATTATATCTTTCAAATGCACAAGCAGTATTGATGTTGGCACAGACACCAAGGACACATTGGTCTTCCAACAGCAGATTTCCATTTTATAGAGGTAGGGATCTACCCTGTAGAATCAGAAGGGAGGGGGAGAGGGAGATACCTGAATGCAGGTGGGTACATGCGCAATGTCTCTGCAATCACCATGTCCAGATACGGGAGTTCTTGTACATTTTGGGAATCAAGGACCATCTGAAAAGGCAGGAAGAAAGGAACAATTATATTTTCTCACATTTAAGTGCCAAACTCTTCTCAGATTAGCTTTTAAATCATGTACTTTTTACTGGGCATTTTTCCTGTAGAAGAACTCGATGTCTCATCTAAAACAGTAAATGATAAAATTATACAAAAATGTGGGCAGTAATTAAATGTGTGTATAACATTCCTTTCATCATCAAAACACTTTGGTGAGCAGCCCAGCTGAAGATATAATAATAAATCAACTTGCTAGCAAGTATTAAAACAGGGCATTACGAAGAGCATTAATAGCTACAACAGAGAGATTGTGTTATACACGCACTAAAATCTGCCCAGGACCCTTGTTTATTCCCAAAGCCAAGAGCATGGCAGACCAGGAACACTTTGCTCACAAGAAACAGCAAGTCCACGTTACCCTTGCTGATGCTGGAGCAAACCCTTTGCCCTTTCCCAGTTACAGAAATAAATCAAAGTGCTGGTGCTGCAATGCCTGCAGAGGGGTGGGAGATGGCACTGGAAGAAACCAGCACCTCGATGAGGAAGGCAGTGGTGAATTTCTCTGCTGAGTAAAGGGGGCTGGGGTACAGCTCCAATCCCACCCGGCAGGATTGCAGTAGTGTCTGGGGAGAGAAGCCAGTTTCCTCTCCTGGCCACCTCTTGTGTAATACTGCTTAATTTTGCATGGCGGGCAATGCCTGAGCCCACATTTTCATGAGTCTCCAAAAGCACCTGTCCCTTGACAACGAGTGGTGGGCACTAAAACTCAAACAAGGCTGTATCTCAGAAGACTTTGCTCTCTGACAGGCAGCAAACAGACAGCGAGAGACACCAAACCACCGACGACCACGAGCAGCAGTGGCACGACTCAGCACATGGATGAACAGGGAATTTTTCCCACTGTTGCCTTCCTCGGTAAAAAGGACATTTTCCCAGTCTTATTCAGTGCTCTCAGCAGAGGGCAGCCAAAGTACATCTAATAACCTCGTCAGTAAAGCAGAGTTTTGTTTTAAATTAGAGCATCTCCTAAAGACTGACACAGAGTAAATTGGAGAAAAGCACAGACGTCAGACTAGACTAAACCTTTTATGAAGATTTGGGGCCCCTGCCGTTCACAAAGGGGACTGGATTCCATCCTTCCTTTATTTACTACAGCACTTTTCATGTATAATGCATATTTTATTGAATTTTCATGCAAAAACATATGGTACATACTGAAAATACTAAGCAGAGAACAACTCCAGATGGTATGCAGAAAAGGCGTACAATAGAACGAGGATACCTAGCTGGATTAGGGTATCGCACTTATTCAGCACTAAGCCACCATGCACCATTTCACATTAACTGATCTTTTCGAGGAAGGAAATAGATACATTCTATTATCCCCACTTTTTGGCTCAGGAAAGAAAAGCAAAACCAGAGAAAGTAATTTGCACAGGCTGAGCAGAACCAGTGTGTCTGCTCCTCTCTTCGGGAAAAAAGATGCAACTCAGCTTGTCAACAGATGAAGTATTTTGTCAGTATATGTCAAATACTATCAATACAGGAAGCATAGACTGCACTGACAGCCTTTCAGTGTTGTTTTTTTTTTATTGCAGTGGTGCCTACAGACTCAAACCTTTGGGTTGGGTCGATGGTTACCAGACAAAAGACCAGGAGACTAAAAGCCACAAATGGCAGCCGTGTCATGAGAACCATGGTTGAAGGCTGTGCTAGGAGCTGTGCTCCAATAATTGGAATAGCTAAAACCAAAGACCAAATAAGGATGATTTTTAGCATCCTTTTTTTTTCAGAAAGAGGTCCAATTTTTCACCCAGGAAATCAGTAGCAGAGGCTGGAAATGAACTGTGATCAGGTTCAAATTTCAGGCCTTCATGGCAAAACTACCCTCCTCCATGGCCACATGGGTGCTCCACGCTTTGATGCAAATGCATGCTGTGGCCTGTATTTTTTTTTCTTTTCCTGCTAATTTCAGAACTTTCCTCCATCCTTTTTATACCACTCTCCTGCATCTTTTTGAATCCTGGGTCAGCATCTGAGCTCCGTCCCCGCAATCCCTCCTGATTTTATGGCCAGGCTGGTGGAGGGAAGAGTTCAGGCCTCAGTAAATGAATGGTGGAGCCAAGAGCACATCATGATGTGTTCGATTCTCTGAGCCATGCTCTTTCCACTGGGCCTTCCTGTCTCTCTCACAATCCCTCTACTTACTTCTGGAGTCAATAATTAAGATAATTATATGGTAACATGATATAATAAGTAGCCACTAAATCAAACCATACATCAACAAATAATATAACACTAAATTATGGGAGCTTTGATTTGCTCTTTCAAATAGCTTCTATACCTTCAGGGGATTAGCAGTTCAGAAAACAAAACAAAGGTGTAAAACTAGCTGATTTTCCTGAGAAGAAAATTCCTTTTGCTTACAAAAAGAGAAAGGGGTCAGTCAAATGGCAACAAACCGTATGCTGCTATCGTTAGCATGGCAGACACATCAGTCACTCCCTACATCTGATGCAGCTTAATTACTGGCACTTCCACGCTTTTAGCATCAAAGTTGCTGAACCTAATTTAGTAGTTGTTTGCAAGGCCTGACCCAGGGCTGTGTAAAATACACACAGGACAAGTGTCTCTATTTAGGAAGGACAGTTTGCTGCTTTTTTTTCCCCTTTCAAAGAAAATATTTTCCATTTGTTTTTCCACTCCCTCTCTTCAAAATATTCCTTTAGCCAAGCACATTTCAAAGGAAATTAAATATGCTTTTCTCCCTAAATGTCCCTATTTATATCTTTCAACTGCTGGCAGGTTCGCTGGGGTGGGGGGTGTCATTGCACAAAGATGCCACTTTCACCCCATGCAAAAAAACTATGTCTACATTGCCTCTCACTCAGGATTAAGTGTTTTTTCATTAAGAAAGAGATTCTTTTCTATAACAAGTAGAGATGTGGGGGGAGAAAGGAGGCACCACATTGCATGTAAAAAAAACATCCTATATTTTAATTTTGCAGCCACTGCTTCGCACAGCAGTTTGTCTTATGCTTTGCACAGCCTTGTAGTATCTTTTCCTGTTGACGTGGAAGTGAAATGGCCATGTAACATCTTGTGACATTTCTCTGTGTGCACATTTCCCTGGTTTGATTTCTGAAAGTGTGGTAGTACACCCTGACCCGTTCCAAACCATTCAATCACTTCTGAGGTCTAGAAAGCATCTAGTTTGATCTAGTTTGGGCACAAAAAATGCTTTATGATTAACAGCAAATCCCAGGCCTCTATTTCTTATAAAAGGTAGGATATTAATTCTTCACCCCACAGACTACCCTGAGGTGAAATACCAGCAGTAATTATAAAATTGCCTATGTGCTACAAGGATGTTACATGCTTTAATTCCCACATAAATTCCAAGAGAAAGAACTGCCTTCAGATCCACCTCTGCTTTTCAGTCTTGACTTTAGTATTTTCTAGGCAGGCAAACCTATTTTTTGCCACCACCCTCAGTTAACTTTTAATTCTTCAATGAACACCAAGGGAATCCAAGTGCTGACAGGAGAGGTCTCGCCAATCTTTCTGCTGCAGTTTGAGATGCTACTGTTCCCAGTTGCTCGCTCCTCTTTGCTGGCTGTGGTTAGCATCACAACAGCCAAGTCAGCAGAAGGGAACATATGCCTGCACCTCAGTTGCTTCCATACAACGTCCAGCATGAACCCATATTCAGTGACAGTTTAAGGGAAGATACTAACTTCTCCCCAAAGTAGCTGCTGAGTGAGACACAGATCCTCCTCTACCACCTCTGTTTCTGGAATAGTAATCCAAGCGCACATCATAGAATAAAATATTTCCACTTATCCTATTGGTCAGGGACTGGTGGTGCTCAGCAGACAGAAACAAACAAACAAAAATATCAGCGAAAATTTTGTGTGGCTGACAGAGTGTGATGTGCACCTGAAATTGATTTGGAAGCAGTGAAGGCTGCAGAGACCACATTCCTCATAACCAGTGCTGCTGAGTCATGGCCTGAGACTGAACCGGCTGTGGTTTCTGAGCAATTGCACTCCAAATCAAATGCTTCATGGGTAGGTGTGACTGCGACAAAGTCCATGCCAGAGAGATGATGTGCAGATCTGCTTAAGTGCAGATGCAGATCCATGAGTTATCTGTGTATGCATTGCTACATAGCCCACATCATCTCTCCCTTAAAATGTAGGCTCTGGATAGCAATAAGATAGGAGGTGGTGAGTCAAAACAAACTGCCAAAATATCTATTCAGACCATTGTCATAGCTAGGATTCACAAACAGGTCAATAATGTTTCTTGATCAAATGGATCAAGAGCTGCTGATAGATCAAAGAATCTGCTTGGGGTTTTGACCTCTCTTTGGTCACCTCTAGGAGCTGCTCATCCCCTAACAGAACTAGAGCCTATGTGCCACGCTTAGCCTAGGAGAAGGGGAAGAAATGCAAGAACACTCTGTCAAATTAGGGTTGCCCCATGGCAACCTTTCTAACAACTGTATCAAGAAAGGAAAGGCTTGAGACAGGACAGCATTCAGGATGCGAATCAATGAAAAAAGAGGTAGGGTGGTTCAACAAGCACCTATCTTCAATTTGCTTAAAGAAAGCTTGCCTCATGTTTTACCATGTCCTCAACAACATGCTGGCACACCTGCAAAGCACCAAACTGAAACCTCTGCAATGTTAGGCAGCAAAATAGGGACAATGTTGAGGAAGTAAAAATTTCTTGGCTTTATCTTCAGAACTTGGATCAAATACTTAAAAAGCTTCTTAAGGCAGTCCTCATGAGATACTTACTGTAAAATCTCTGCTGTCTGTGGTCCAGCCTGCACCTGCCAAGTGAGATGTCTCCCTGAGCCCTTTACTAGCCAGAACCAGCCCTTGCCACTGAGGAAAGAGGTTCCTGAAGCCCTCAAGTCCCACTCATCCCAGGAAAAAGGTCATGGCAGAAGGTGTTACTTAAAGATAGACTGCTTTAAAATAGAGAAG